CAGTGGTTTCAATTAGCCTAATCGACCTTTTCAAATGTAATCTGTTCTTCCTTTTGTTTTTTCTATTGCTGAAAAACTTGTTAGAAGAACAAAATCATTCTTCAGATAACAGCTGCTGAAAATTCACTGAATGGGGTAGCTACAACGCATTGATTAATTTAAAAGCGTTCCACAGCTCAAAATGTGGTCTTCAATAATTTCTCGTAATAAATTTGAATTAGCTGAAGTAAATTGAAAAATAAATGAATTGAGTATCTTGGCGGTTTCTTCAACTATTTCACAATACCTTCTGCAACTTTAATGGCCTGCAATTTTTAAAATTTATTTTCTTATCCTTTTTTTAAAATCTCAGGTGCACTTAGTTCATCTTCATTATGGAAATTAAAGGATCCAAAATCGGAGACCTGCCATTCCTAACTTCTTCAAGTAATTCGAAGTAAAATTCCTTCTTTGCTCGTTTTAACAGCCTTTTATAAAGCTGCATTATTAGTACTTTCGAATGTTTGAAACGGTATCTAATTGCTAAAAAATATTGATTATTCCGCTTATGCCCGTTTTTCCTATTTTTCTACTTTGCAAACTCCTCAAACATGCACTTTTCCTTTGATACACCTTTTTTGAGCCGAAATACGTCTGCACTTTTTCATTCTTTCCATTACTCAACTGTTTACCAACGTATTGCTGTCAGTGCCAATTTCACTACTTTGATAATTGTACTCGATTTATGACAGCTGGCACTCAACGCTTGTAATTGCCCGTAATGATAGTCCTTAGGCATCGTGGATCACTTCACGTCTATATGTTCCTCAAGGCTAACATTTCACACCTCATCATGTACTTGCAAGTGTAACTTTCACATCAGTAAGAGTGGTCAAGCGCTAATTGCAGTTACATGAATGTAATAGTGGTATATTCTCAAAGAGTTAGTGGACCTGCACGCGCTATTTGTAGACATTTCTGTTTTTTGAGGAATTTTCATTAGTTCTTCTGTCTAACATCATGCGTACTTCCATTTCTTCGCTTTATATTCATGTATTTCTTTCTGATCCAATCCTTTTGAAATTCTTCTTATGAGATCTCTTTTAGATGGACTTCTCACGTCTACCTGAAGAAGTTCTAGTCAACGTGCTCAAGATGTCATCCCCCACTACTGTAACTATGGCAAAAAGACTAAACAAAAAGCTCAACCGAATTGTGGAAAGGAATCATCTGGGCAAACCTCGAGTCGACGACTTCAAGTAAGACACTCTTAATAAATTGGTGTATGTTCACCTACAAGTCTATATTTCAGTGTGGAGATGCGCACAATCTTGGGACGGACACGCCCCATTGGCAAGTTGCAACTAAAAAGTACGGGTAAATTACACAGGCGGATAGTTGTGACAATGAAGAGGAAGCACAAAAGTCGGCAGATAGTCGAAGAGGGTATAGAAGGTCCAAGTTGCAGCAATAAGTCTAATGTTATCATGGAGAATATGAAGAAGGTTAGGTATTTACCTTATCTAGCTGGATTACTTGCAAGTGTGAAAGTGTCACATTCAAAATCGTTAAGGTATAGTAATCTCAACCTGTCTCAATCAGTTAGATTTAGGTACAGCTCTACGAAAGACTTTCTTTTGATGGAGTTACCGCTGATGCTGAGTTCTTCAGCATGCTTACCGCTAAATGGAATGACTTAAGGTTCGTAACTGATCTACCGTACAAATTCTAGAAAGCTGATTGATTCCACAAATTCAGCAAGGCCATATATGCTTCCACCTGGAGAAAAATAGCTATTGGATCTTTAACCCATTCTGAGCTTAACCTTTTTGTTTTGATTAAGGCTGTATATACTCAAATTATCTTTAATGCAATAGTTGTAAGCAAAAAAAAATAAATTTGCTCTTTGTATTTGAAAAAATGTAGACACAATTCTCATTTCACGCAACATCACCTTAAAAATTAATATATCGTTTTTTTTT